ATACCTTAGAAAGGGTAATTTATGAACACTGAAAATGTATTTCTCACACTTCTGGAGTCTGAGAAACCCGAGGTCAAGCTGCCAGCAGAGTCAGTGCCTGATGAGGACTTGCTGTCTGCTTCCAAGACCACAACGTTTTGCTGTGACTTCACATAGCAGAGGGGCGGAAGGGACAAAGAGATGAGGGGACAAACTCTGCTCCCTCAAACCTTTCCATTTCTTTTTTTTTCCTAGTTAACTCTTTTATTTAGTTTTAAAATTGTATTTTCTTTATTTGTACATGTTTATGGGGTACAGTTTGTTGTTTCAATGCATGCATATATCGTATAATGATCCAGTCATAATAGTTAGCATATGTGTCACTTAAACACTTATCATTTCTCTGTGCTTATAACATTCAAGACCCTTTTTCTTGCTATTTTGAAATATTACAACACAATATTATTAGCTTCAGTCACCCTAGAGCACCAGAACTTACTCTTCCTATTTAACTGTAAGTTTGTAAATTTGTACCTATTTACTAACCTTTCCCCTTCCCCCACCCCTTGCCTCTGGTAACCACTTTTACTTTTTTCTTTGTAATCTTTTTATAAATTGACTTGTGATGACTGTATATATTTATGGAGTACAATGTGATATTTGGGTATGTTTATACAGTGTGCAATGACCATATCACAGTATTTAGCACATCTGTCACCTCAAACATTTGTCACCTCATAGTGTGCTCAAACCTTTTTATTAGGGTATTAATCCCATCCATGAGGGTGGAGCCCTCATGGCTAAATCACTTTCCAGTGGCACCACCCTTTAATGCCATCGCCTTGGTGTTTAAGTTACAACATTTGAATTTCAAAGGGATACATACATTTAAACCATAGCAAGAGGTATCAACAAATGTTCCAGTGAATAACAGGCAATGACAAACCAAACTTGCAAAGTCCAGATACGGTGTTATCATACAGGTATAAGCAGAAAATTATTTTAATAGCATAATCCAAGTCCTGCTTTTCACCTATTGTATAACTAATCCCTGATAGGAATAAGGGTCTTTCTGAGGTCCCATAGCTAGTCTATTGTAAGACAGATGCTTGAACCAAGGCCCCATGTTCTCCTGTGAGTTCTTTAGATTGTGTTATCCCTTACTTTAACATGTTGGTTTTCTCCTGAAACTTTAAAATTAAACTGATGTTTTTATGTTTCTTAGCAGAGTTCAATTATGGAAATTAATTGTATTAATGTTTTTGTTTACTTTATATAGTTTTTAAGGGTTTAGGTTGTGAGGGATGCCTGGATATGTATCACGAAGATAATAATATAGGAGTCTTAACAATGCTGTAGGATTATCTGAGTGTTTTTCTACACATCATGCAATTAAATCCTTGCGCTTAAATTCTGGTGAGATTAGCCTGATATCGTGACCTCTAGTTTATAGTAAGAAGATTTATTCAACCTCAGAAAATTTAAATAAACTAGCAAACTGAGAAGCTAGAACTTGTACACAAGTCTTCTGTTCCAATTGAGAACAGCTTTTAGTTGTAGAAAAAGTATTTTTTTCCCTTTAACATAATACACTTTCAGAACTGAAAAAACCTTAATGATAAATTATTCCAGGGATTGGCAAACTTTCCTGGAAAGGACATAGAGTAAATATTTTTGCCTCTGGAGGCTATACAGTCTTTGTTGCAAACAGTCATTTCCAATATTGTGGTGCAAAAGCAGGCATCAACGATATGGTAAAGGAATGGTTTAGTAAAACTTTATTTACAAAACCAGTCTGCAGGCAGAATTTGGCCCATGGGCTACAGTTTACAGATTTCTCATGTACTCTCCTCGAGGCTTATTTCTGAGAAGAGAAATATAGGCCCTCTAGAGGGTTGATTCGACTTATCCAGGCTGCTTCTGGCTGTAGTCCAGCAATCTGCTCTATCTGGCTGCTTTTGATTTTAATATCTGTCTCTGAAGAGCCATTTAATAATATCAGTGTAACTGGCAAGGTTTTTATCTTCCCTACCCTGAGCACTATAAGAGGTAAGTATTATTCTAATTGGCCTTTTTATGGTGCCCATAGAATTTGTTTAGGTAGTCAATAATGGCTTAATTGTGCTAACAAAAGTTCATTGATTATATCTTTCTCCGGAGACTTGCAGACATCCAGTCCCTTGAACTGTTGATCTGCCTTTCTTCAAGATTCTTCGCTCTGCAGCATCGTAAAACAAAGTCTTTAGTAAGCAAGCTCGACAGCCATTGCATCAATTTAACTTTGAAACTAAGACTCCTAACACTCCACAGGAAATCTTAGAATTATTTCTTCAGTCTCATGTTCCAAGAGAGTTGGGATTAGTTTCAAATTGATATTTATACTTATCATTAGAAATAAAATTTGTAGATAATTGTGTTATGTAGTTCTCATTTTATTGTTCTTTGGGAAAAGATGCAATATGTTAACATAAAATAGCATAATATGAAACAACCAAGTATTTTCCAAATGCTTTTGATTTGTAATTCAAGTATGGGTTCCTCTAGCAACCTTAGTGAAAGGCCAGATTTTGCTTCTATAGTCAGGCCCTAAGATTTGATTTTAGAAAACGTATCTTTATTACATTATACGCTTCTAAAGGACTCTTTGTTTTATATTAGTGTCATACCAGTTTTGTTTCTTCATGGTGGTTGGCATTTACACTAGATTAAAAACAAGATAGGAAACTTCTCTGCTTAGAGTTATTCCCCTTCCAGCTGTGTGTACGTGTGTGTGCATGTGTGTGTTCCACGCCTTCAAATATTAACTGTTTGTTAGCAAACCAATCCAACCACATTGTTTTCAATTTTGGATGAAATTTGATAATATACGTAATTCCAATTTAGCTGATTTTTTTCCTCATTGAGGAGGAAGTTGAAACTATTTGCACACATTAAAAAACTCCCCTTTAAATCCAAGAGGGAAGCCATAGAATGAGCCTTGGAATTTCTGTGTCTTACTCTAGCTCTGCTCTCTCTGCTGTGTAAACGAGTTCTTATATGATCACATAGAGTTGAAACCCTGGTGTTTGCTATAGGGAGGATATAAATGTAGAATGAAACTTAATATTAGGCAGTGGTAGTGATCTCCATTTGTAGCAGACTTGTAAACACAAATTTCAGGGGAAAAGCCAGGAATTATTTCCCAATTATATCCTAAGTGTAATGTAATGTTGCATTGATATTTAGAGAGAGAGGGGAAAATATTTTAGGGACTTCACAAAAATAATTTATACTAAAGTATTTTAACAATGGAGTGTTGAGGATTATTGCAAAATAAAGAAAAGAAGGATCAGTGCTTTGCCCTTGGATAGTTTGGAAATTATTGTCAATATTTTTTTGAAAATATCTGGAGTATTAAAATTATGTGAAGGAAAAGAAAAACAAGGGAAAAAGAAAAAATACAAATAAGGAAGGCAGAAATAAATGAACAATTCTTTTAAACAAAACAAAATTATACCACAACCTATTATACTACATTTTAAAAAATAGTGTATCTCTATTTTCTTATTCTCGGTAGATTTCATCTCTTTGTAATCAGGAAAGTACGTGTTAATCTATATGGAAAATTGATACCAACTTTGGTGTACAATTTCATTAATGGTCACAGTGGTACCTAGATAGAAGATGCTATGAGAAATATTCATAGTTATTCTGTATCTTCATTCTGGGAAGGAGGAAGCTAGTTTAACATTGATTTGCCACCATTAGTACTTTCTGTTAATTGTTGTGCTCAGGAAAAGAGAGAAGCATATGTTTTCCAACACAGAATTGGTTTTACTGTTCTGGAATATGGATTCGGGGTTGATTATATATTTTCTCTCCCTCCCTTCCTTCCTTCCTTCCTTCCTTCCTTCCTTCCTTCCTTCCTTCCTTCCCTTTCTTTCTTTCTTTCTCTCTTCCTTTCTTTTTTTTTGTTATTCCCTGAGAGCACTCTTACATTCAGCTTTTTGTATTGTCCTAAAAAGGTTCTTTGAATATTATTACAAACTATAGTTTTAGAGTAGAAGCATTTCAGATACTCATAATTTGTTACTTTGGGCCAAAGTCCATTTCTAGATTAAAGAACAGATTCACTATAAGCCTTATGCATCTTAGTTATTTTAAATAGAATAGAATCAGAGTGAGGTTTTTATATAAAAAATAATTTCCAAATAAATTTTACTTCATCAGATCAGTGCATTTCTCATGTTAGTTTAGTTCTACTTTGGGTGTAATCAAGTTAAAAAAGAGTTGACTATATGAAAATTAGGGTCTTCTTGTAAAGCAGTAAGAAAATTATCTTTCCTAGAATTGGTCTTGAATTATCTTTACAAAGAGCAGCATCATTCCAAAACTAAGTGCAGAATAAAGGGTCATACACAGGATCCTCTAACCTGAAAGGTCTTTGGATATATATTCTAGGATCTAGAGAAACACAGTGACATCTGCCCTTGATTATAGTTACATGGATAAATTTGAGTCCTAGGGTGGTATTTAAAACATTTCAACGTACACAATGATATTATGTTCTGGGAATATGGCACACAGATATTTTTAACATAATTATAGATGTCTGACTGGTGGTCTTTGAAATTAATTATTAAAAAGAAGACATTCGTGGAAAAATTGGAATTCTTCATGGTTTGAGTCATGTTTATCTTAGGAAAATTCAAACTAAACTATTTTAATAAAGATTTTTGTTTGTTTTACAGTTGTTTAAATTAACTTTCAGAAACTTGGGGTTAATTGCTAAAGTGTTTAGTTTGTTCAGCTATTAGCATTGTGCTTCTATTGACATTTTTAAACATTAATGAGAATGAGAAAACATGGTTTTGAGGTATTTGTTAAGAAAAAATATTAAGGTGATACTAATATAGAAAAAAGAAGGAAATAGCTGTGAGTCCATTTTTACTGTAGTCCTGGGTTCCTTACCTCCAGGAATCAAACTACCAAGTGTAGTTACAATCATTTTTACTCTGTATGTGTGTTCTTCCATTTTGCAGATTGTTTTAAATTTTACCACAATGGACCTATACAAGAGCAGTCTGTGCTGGTATGACTACATTGAAGTAAGAGATGGGTATTGGAGGAAATCACCTCTCCTTGGTAAGAAATTATTTACCTTGTATGTATCTATGCATATGTTCTGTTCTGTCTGAAGACAATCAATTCTTTTCAAGACAATCAATTCTTTCTCTTAAAAATAATGTGTGATCAACATTATTTTTATTTGTACTATACTTTTCCAACAATACCAAAAATACTCAAATGCAAATAGTAGATCAATAGGTTGATTGATTAGTTGATTTAAGCTAGCTTAGACTATGAAGTAGAGACTTGGGTCTGAACACAATGATTGAGAATAGCTTTCTCATATGTTATGCTCGTCATGTCTATTCCTCGGGATGTTTCTGCACTTTTAATTTAAGAATCATAGATTTGATGGGAAAAAACCCCAGATAAATTGCATGTGTATGTATTTTTGTGTGTGTGTATCTGTGTGTTTTCTGGTTTTTTTTTTTTTTTTTTTTTAATGCTAAGGCAGCAGAGTGTGAGCTGTTAGGTACATGTTTGGTGGCTGGCTTCCTATGCCAAGCATATTAGTTCTTACTAACAACGTCACCGTTTTGCTTCTCAGAGAGCTTTTTGTGCCCGAGAAGAGGCATTTGTAGCTTATGTCATAAATTGTAGCTCAGATGTGGTGCTGTCTAAAGTCTGCTGCCAACATTCAACCACAGACCACACTGTTAACTTGCATGAGGCAGTTTACTGTTGCCCTCTGTTTTAGTTAAAAGCAAGAGCTGTTTTGAGCATGTAAGCATCTACTCTATATTGATCTTTTTTTAAATGAGATTGTGACTTTTCCTTTATTTTTAGAAGTAGCTTTGCTCAGTTGTATTCATGTGCCGTACGGATCTTCTTTTTCTTAACATGTAAAACCTGCTGAATGGATGTTATTGTATTAAAAGTGACAGCAGCCTTAGTAAGTCCAAGAGATCTGTAGAAATGTTTAAAAGTAAGGAAAAATAAATAATTGAACTAATGTGATAAGTCAAGTTGAGGAAAACATTGTCTTCTACATTTTGTTTCTCAGCCTAGATAAAACAATAAACTACATGTGTATGTGCATTTTAGAGAATACATTTCTTTAAACTTTCATTGGAGAATCAAATATAAAGCTAAAATTTTGTAAAACACTTTTTAGAGCACCATCAGCATTATACGTTTCACTGTAATTGGTTTACCAGATTGACTCAGTGTGGTCATGGTTTTCACGTAGAAAGCTTTCCCCATTATTTCTTCTAAGACCTTCCTCCAAAAAGTGTAGAATATATATTCAAATACCTCTCAAGTTAGAGGATCTTGTATATGACCCTTTATTCTGTGCTTAGTTTTGGAATGATGTTGCTTTTGTAAAGATAATTCAAGAGCAATTCTAGGAAAGATAATTTTCTTATTGCCTTATGAGAAGACCCTAATTTTCAAATAATCAACTCTTTTTTTTTAACTTGGTTACACCCAAAGTAGAACTAAACTAACATGAGAAATGCACTTATCTGATGAAATAAAATTTATTTGGAAATTGTTTTTTATGTCAGACTGGCAACATCAGAAACTCCCGGGAAGTTGTTAGAATTGTAGAAACTTAGATCCTACTCCATGTCTCTGAATTAGAAACTGCGTTTTAACAGATTTCCTGGCATTTCATGTACATACTGCAGCTTAAGAATCACTGCCCTATACTGTATGTCTCTAATTCGCTTTGCAATTTAGAAACATATTTCTTCACATGTTAGCCATTAGTATGTAATTGCTTTATGTAATTTGGCTACCATTTTTCATATAATAAAACTATGTATGACATCATTTCCAGGGGCACACAAAAATGGATAACCATGTGATATATATGTAAAGTTATTTCATGTGCATTGTCATGGTTAACCATTTTGCCATCATGTGTCAGGACAGAGGCAGATGTACAGTAAACAATAAATATTTGTGGAAGAATGGGGGAAGAAAGGAAGGAACAACAGGTATTATTACCTATGGATATGCAATTAGAAAAAACTCAGAGCTCATACTCAAATCTTCTGATAATATTTGTTACTCTGCCTATAACACGACCTATTATAGCTGTATAAATGCAATGGAATGTGTGCAATAGTGTAAGAAACTTGAGGTAGCCTGGTGGTTTTCCTGAGGAGTTAGACAATCTAACCCGGCTTGACAAAGAACTCCACTTTGAGCTGAGAGTACATCCTTAGCCAAGTTACTCCTCTACTCATGACCAGATTAAGTATTTGAACCAGTTTTTCAGGGTAACTTGTACCTTTTTTTGTTTCCCACAGAATAATATTCCACTTTGATGCATCATGTGACCTTTCACAAAGAGGTTTTTTGAGCTAACCTCTCAATTCTATGTATGATAATGATACTGACATCAGTCAGTTAATCTATGGATGATCATCAGATCCTTTATAAATAGATATGAAGAAACTGTTTTATTCGTCTACCTTTATTAAGTAAATATTATGGTATAGTTACAGCTCTAATCACTATGGATAGAGATATGAGCCAAGTCAGGTTTTATATATATAATTTATAGCTAGTGTGGAAAGCAATTAGAATATAGAGTTTTATTTAGGAGTCTCTCTTTATTCTTTTTTTCTTTCTTTCTTTTAGGTAGATTCTGTGGGGACAAAGTATCTGAAATTCTTACTTCTACAGACAGCAGAATGTGGATTGAGTTTCGCAGCAGCAGTAACTGGGTAGGAAAAGGCTTTGCAGCTGTCTATGAAGGCAAGTCACATCATCTCAGATCTCTTAACAGAAATATCCTTTCTTTAAGTTTTCTTAGACTGATTTAATCATATTTTAAAATCATGAAATCTTCTAAGCTTATAATATTCACAAGAATGATTTTAATAAAAATGCTTGGTAATGGGCCGGCCCAGTGGCGCACTGCTGCAGTGCGCTGCTTGGGAAGCGCGGCGGCGCTCCCGCTGAGGGTTCGGATCCCGCATACGGACCGGCCGCTCACTGGCTGAGTGAGGAGCGGGGGCAACACCGAGGGTTGCGATCCCGTTGCCGGTCCCGGTCCGGTACGGGCACGACACTGAGGGTTGTGATCCGTTGCCGGTCACGAAAAAAAGACAAAAAGACAAAAAAAAAAAAAAAAAAATGCTTGGTAAATTTAAATCGCAAGAACAACCTATTTTCTAGTATCAGTCATGTAGTACCATATAAATGTGCTCAGGATGTGTGGGGGGAAAACCCAAATGGCACAAAAGTTCTTAAACTTTGTTTGCTTCATGATGATGTTAAAATATTATGAAGAAATTATTCTCCTTTGTACCAATTTTGTGTCTTTGTTCCTGCACTGCTGAAATAGTCTATATAGGAAACTGCACAGAAAGTAATTATGCACATTTCTGGAGCAGACTTTAAATAGGAGAGTCAGCATTCAAGGATGAATATATTAGATGCTTTGTGCTATACTTCTCTAGAACAATAAACTGGCTTTGTGCTTCCCGGCTTTAAAAACAGCTCCTTTCTTGCCAGGTTGTGGGTGGAAGAGACCGTGTCTAGTACAGGAGTTTAGGTAATTTCGAAAACAAGATTTGTGCTTCCCTTACACTTTTAAGTAAATGGAAGCATTTTGTTTTAAAGATTAACTGGATAGCAGTGAAGAGGATTATTTGGATGGAGCCCCAGATGTTGAGGCCATGACACTAGCTTGCTGCCAGAGATCCAGTGAGTGCTGTTCAGGGTGAAACTTCTCTTCTGATGAGCTATGTTACCTGTGGTCAAAACCAGACAAAGCAGTTCAGAGCATCACAAAACCAACTCATATAGAATAAATTTACAACATCCCTAAAGGTTTTTAAAAGTCAAAAAAGTTTTTTGTTAAGATGTGAAATAATAGTGATTAAAAATGATACTCCTCGGCTGACTATTATCTAATATTTTCTATTTATGTGTCTAGGTATTTTACCATCTAAGTATTTATAATGGTACAACCAATTATACTCAGCTACAGGAACTGAACTTAAATATTACCTTACAAGAAAATGAAATGGAATGTTTAGATTTATTTGTTTATTTTTGCTTTCTTCAGCAATCTGTGGAGGGGAGATACGTAAAAATGAAGGACAGATTCAGTCCCCTAATTATCCTGATGACTATCGGCCGATGAAAGAATGTGTGTGGAAGATAACGGTGTCCGAGGGCTACCATGTCGGACTGACCTTTCAGGCCTTTGAGGTAAAGTCTTTCAGACACCCGTCATGGAGTGTAGTCTCCATCAGTGACAGTGGCATTTAAGAGAATACTCATTAAATCAGCAAAGAAACAGAGAATCAGCAAAGAGGCAAAGCATCACCTATAAAATGTAACATCATAGCAAAAGGTTTTTTGTTTCTTTTCCTCTTGTGGCAGACATTTCCAAGAAGATTAAAGTGAGTTTACATTATCTGTGCTATTTGAATTAGAATGTTTGAAGTTCTAACAATAGTTTTTCTTGACAAATGCACAGACTCGTTTCACAAGACTGCTTGGAGAGTCCATTAAATAATAGAAATTTTATTTCTCTTCTTTTTTTTTTTTCCTTTTTGTCTTTTTTTTACTGACCGTTAACCCTCGGTGTCGCGCCCGTACTGGGGACCGGCAATGGGATCACAACCCTCGGTGTTGCGCCTGCACAGCGCTCAGCCAGTGAGCGGGAACCGGTCTCCACATGGGATCCGAACCCTCGGCAGGAGCGCCACCGCACTCCCAAGTGGCGCACTCTCCAGTGCGCCACCTGGCCGGCCCGAGAAATTTTATTTCTCTTCTAAACTAAGAGGTTAAAAGGTAGACATTCTCTTTTTCTCCCCTTAGGGGAAAAATTCATTTTTACCTTTTTACCGTTACATGGATAATTGTTTATAACAAAAAATAGGGACTTTAGTGTTCTTAGGAGCTTACTGTCTCATCACAATTATTTGTCGGAGAGATTAGCAGCATTATTATGCTATTACATGACAGGCCAGAAGAAACCAAAGGCCAAGAAGAACTCTGCATCAAAGTCTGGGTCCAGAACCACCAAACTGGTGAATGAGTCTTTTTTGCGGGATGAGAGGAACTGAGTTAGGATTCGAAGCCAAAAAACAGAGAGAATTTGTCAGGAATTCCAGAGTATGTTTAGATCAGAGTCAGTCTAGAAATTGAGAAACCCAAGGTACAGTGGGAAGGAACAATGAGATGGTGGCGGAAGGTCCAGGCAAGCATTAGAAATCCAGATGCCACAAGGCCGGCCTGTGGCTCACTTGGTAGAGTGTGGTGCTGATAACACCAAGGCCACGGGTTCGGATCCTATATAGGGATGGCCAGTTTGCTCACTGGCTGAGCGTGGTGCTGACAACACCAACCCAAGGGTTGAGATCCCCTTACTGGTCATCTTTATATAGAAAAAAAAAAAAAAAAGAAAGAAATCCGGATGCCACAACTGGAGATTATCTCTTGACTGATTAGAAGGCCGATCCACTGTCCAAGGGAGCAGAAGGCAGTAGAGAGCCCCATCCTCTGCCAGAGTGCACTTGCCACCGAGTATGATGCATATGGTCATGTCTCTGTCCCCACAGCAAGAGCAGCAGGGCAATCCAGGCACTACCCATAAGTCCACAGAACTTCTCACCCTCACCTGCAAGCCTGTGCACTATATTTCTTTGGTTCTGTTTCTACTGTCTTGCATGTATCATTTAATTTCCCAGACATATGTATATTTTCTTTTACCATGGAAAAAAAGTGTATTTTCTTCTTTAATCATGGTGTTGTATTTTATGCTCCTGACCATTTCACATTTTTGGAAACCTAGGTTCTGAGATTATTTGATTGTAATTTGAATTTTATTATTTTAATGGATCAGTACGATTGCAAACATTGTTCAAATAGGCCAGTTTATTGTTAACGGTAAACTAAAATTGCATAGAAGCATTTTACCCACAAATTAGACTAAAACAACTAGTTCATTAAAAATTCTCTACCCAGTGGCAATATTACCTGTGTTCTGTGATATTTGAAGAATGAAGAAATTAACTGTCTTTTGATATATAATTCAGTATTTCATGGGAGTCTCCTATTACAGAAGTGATGTTAGAGAATGCATTCATTCCAATGCATCTAAAAACTGAGATGCATGAAATTGCTGGTTTAGTTGCCTTGAAGTTTCATTTTTTTGATTTATCAATATTGTAACAATGATATTTGTCAAAAACAGAATAGCATAAGGACAAAGAGGAAGAACTTGCATCTCAGGTACTTAGAACCATGCCTGATGCATAGTTGTAGGCACCTCCTAGAGGGAAACCAAGATGAGAGAAATGATCTGTTATTCCCGCAGTAAGTCTCAGTTCCCAACTGTATTTCACTTTATTCTTCCTGTGATTCTAATCCACAAAGATATGAATCTATTGCATGCAATAACTCATACATGCAAAACAGCAATTTTATCTGGTTCACATCTAAAAAATGGTCAATAACTGGCATTATTGACCTCACTAAAAATTATACAATAGTTATAGGCAATTTAAGGGCTTTTCAGGGAGTAAATTGAATTATAAACATTTTATCTTATGTATTTTGCTCATGTTTGCTTTCAATGAGAGACTGAGTTCCTAAGCAGATACAATGTTTTTTTATTCATGTTTGTCTAATAAATACTTGTTGATTGAGTGAATGAATAAATGATTACTATGCTATGGGACTTTGGAAAAGTCCCAGTTTGGCTGACAGAGTGCATTTTATTTATTATGTCTAGTTTTCTGTCCTTTCTTCATTTTGCTTTATTTTCCTATGTTTCTGCCTTCTTCATTTCTATACTGGACGCATTTTAATGTCTAATAGTCCTCTCATCTTTAAATTACCAAACCCAAACCTCTGATTGTCTTGTCTTACTAAACTCACTCTTCAGTTTATTTCGGTACCATTTTTGTAGCTGGTATCACCGTTTACCTAAGGAATATTCCTAGTTCTACTTTTTATCTTAAAACCCTGCAGCCAACCCATCAGCATATTCCATTTACTTTGTCTTCACAGTATACCCCAGACGTGATGACTTTATACTAACTTTCTGGTCACCGCTGTGTTCCCACCATCGCCCCTTTGCTTGGAACTTATGGCAAGAGCCTCAGGTCTCTCCTCTTGCCCTACATGTCCTGTTCTCCACACAACAGCCAGAATGACACATTTACCATGTAGGTTAGGTCATGACTCTATTTACAGTCTTCTGGGGGTTTTCATCAAATCTGTATTTGTCAGTGTTCTCCAGAGAGACAGAGCCAATATCATAAGTATAGAAATATCTGAGAGAGAATTTATTAGGGGAATTGGCTCATGTGATTGCAAAGGCTGAGGAGTTGCATGATAGGCTGTCTGCAAACTGGAAGCCGGTAGCGTGGCTCCGTCCAAGTCTGGAAGCCTCAGAACCAGGAAAGCCGGTGGTGCAGCTCTCAGTTCAAGGCCAAAGGCATGAGACCTGGGGGCGCTGCTGGTGTTAAGTCCTGGAACCCAAGGCTGAAGAGTCTTGAGTTCTGATGTCCACGAACAGGAGAGCAGAGTGCATCCCAGCTCCAGTGGACAGAGAGACAGATTCACTTTCTCCTCCACTTTTGTTCTCTCAGGGCTTCCATTGGATTGGATGGTGCCTGCCCATATTGAGGGCAGATCTTTCCCACCCAGTCCACTCAGGCTTACATGCTCGTCTCTTCTGGAAACACCCTCACAGACACACCCCAAAATAGTGCTTTACCATGCTCCTATGCATTCCTTAATCTATCAAGTTGACGCCTACAATTAACCATCACAACACCTAAAATAAAGTTCAGATCAATTATCGTGGATCAAGGCACTCTGCAGTTTGGTCCCAGGTGCCTTCCACTCCTGTGTCAGCCCCAGTGGTCTTGTTTCTCTTACTCCAAAGACGCCAAGCTCACTCTCACATCGCAGGATTTGCCATTCGCTCTCTTCTACCTCTAGACCTTTGCTTTTGTTCTTCTCTCACTACATTCAGATCCCTGCTTACTTATCCCCTTCTTAAAAAGTCCTTTCCTGACAATTCTATTTAAATTATTTTCTTACCTATAATTATCTCTAAATCCGCACTTATGACTACTGGAGTTTAGGCTATGGATCTGTTTGTTTAGGTGTTTATTATCTACCTCTTTCACTAGAATACGAACACCGAAGGGTAGGGATCTTACCTGTGTTGCTGGTCACTATATCTCCAGCACCAGTGGTTGCATGATTGGTATTTGCTAATGCAAGGAATGAGTGGATGGATGGATTGTATGCAAGTAAGTATGTGAGTGCGTGATGGTTGGTGGATGGAAATTAATATATCCTTTTTTATCAAATATAATATGTAAGTTTCATGCAGAGAGAAAGAAGACTGGATAGGTAAGAAAGATTTTGATTATAGATGACCTCATATGCTGTGTGGCTGAATTTAAACCAGAGATCCTAGGTTCTAAGAAGTTTAGGAATGACAGGGATATAGAAGTGTCCTAATAGGAACACCACCTAAATCTTCTAGATAAGGAAACAGAGCTTATGCCATTAACGTAGCATCACAATGGTGAATGCTAGACCAGCATTAATATTCCAGTACAGTTGATCCTGATTTTATTTGCAAATTTGTCTGCTCACTAAAAATTTTCTAAGCCGAAAATCAATACTCATGGTGCTTTCTGGGTCATTCACAGACATGTGCAGAGTAGCAAATTTCAAGTCACCTAACATACACATTACCATCTGCAATATGCCTTACTATGAAAATTGGTATTAGATAAGATTTGTTCAGGCATGAGCTATAGTGCTGTTGGCCATGAGTTCAGTGTTAATGAATCGATAATATATATTAAGGTGTATTAAAACAGAAATACCCATAAAGCAAGATTATGGGCTGATTGGTTGACAAATACTTTGTGGCTAGGATCTCGCAGGAACCTAACCTATATTTGCCTAGGAGCAACAAATCAGTATTTGCTAATTCAATATTCTCAGCAAATTTACAGAATGTCACTACTGTGAATATGAAGAATCAGCTGTATATATGTTTTTATTTGTTCTAGTAGTCATTAGGGGGTTTGTTTAATTTAGTCAGTTATCTGTGTATATCAGTTTAATTTTGTTCACATAATATGTTTCAGTATGCAGAGTATATATTTTATATATTTTTATATTGAAAATGTATAACTAAAGAAAATGTCCTTGCAAATTCTCACTGT